TTTTTGCACTTTGTTTACTTGAAATTTGGTTTTCTCATTGGCATTAGAATCTCATGCTTGAATAAGATATACATAAAGGGGTCATGCTAAGTCCAAAATGTTGCATTAAGACCAACCGGAACAAGAACGATGAAGGTTTATAGTTTTGTTAGAGGGGAAGGAACAATTCCACAAAGCCAGTAAACTAGATTCCTCAATATTCTAAGTAATCTAACTTCATGTTTAGTAACCTCATAGCAAGGCCAATAAAGGGGTGATAGCTCATTTCTTAGCACGCAATGGAGAAGTTATCTAGATGGTGGCTTCTTAAGAAAGGGGGAAAGCCGCTTACCTGCTTCTGCTCATGAGGACCTGAAAAAATTGACGTGTACAAAATCCCAAACAACAACAAAGGAGTGATCGCATTCTGCATCAACTTTGCAATGTTCTGGGAATTTCCAGGATCACCAGCACCTGAATCCTCTGGAGAATCACATTAATAAAAATATCATAAGAACATAAATTAGTCAACACATTCCCATGAAACCTTCACTTTAGTCAACACTCAGCATATTCCAATTGGTGATCTCATGAACATATGAAAAATTAATAATTCACAGGCATTTAAAAAAAAAAAACCACCAATTTCTTGCCAGCTTTCACCAATGTCAGCATTGTAACTAAATTGAAAAAATCAGTTTCCCTACTTCCAAAGTTCTAAATAATCGCCAACATTGGTATATTATCTTTCCCAAATCAAAATTTAAAAAATTTCCAGTAAATGGCGTACCTTTGGATTGAGATTTCTGTTCATTCGCTTTAGGAATTTCCTTCTTATTTTTGGGGTAGTAATTTTCATATTCTACAATAGTTCCATTAAAAAATCAACAAAAAAAGTATAAATTTAAATAATAATCATAAAACAGCGACGATTTTTAACTCACTGCTTTTCTTTGATCCTTCACTGGAGAACAACCGCCTAATCCTAGGGTTTGCGAGAATCGAATCCAAATTCGACAATCGGGTATTCGAAACAAGGTGCTTCCCAGTTCCAGCTGGTGCAAAATAACCCCTTACAATCCCTAACCCTTGATTGACGCGTGAAATGCACGCATTTCCAACAGGCGTGGAGACATACGATTCATTCGACAACAGATTCCTCGATGTTACATTCTGCAAAACACAAACATTCAAATCATTTTCAACCAAAAACAAATGGAGACTATTAAAAATAAAATAAAAAATTGAGAAGGAAATTATGATTACTGTTCGGAAAGTGGAGCGAGAAGAGCGGGAGACAGTGCAACCGATTCTGGAGAAAATCATTATAATAGTATTAAAAGCGGTAACATGAATCGATTCAGAATAGGTAACTCTCAAGCGATGAGTTTCTGGGGTCTGTTTGGTTGATGAGAAAATAAAAATATTTTAAATTTGATTTGATCTTGTGCCAGGGATCAGCTCAAAACAAACGAAAAATGATCGGATTCTTTGGTTAGCAGAGTTGGAGAACTGGGGAACGGCCTACTTTGCTGACCAAAATCACAATTTTACCCTTATTGAGTACGCTGTTGCTGGGGTATTTGGGAAGGTTGTTTTTGTCATTCCAAAGTGGAGTTCCGTTTCGGCTCGTGGCAGGAGGATTATCCACAAAATCATTCGTGGGATCCACAGCAAAACAAAATTCTACTATTGGATTAAATGGGCCCCTGAAAGGAATTTGGGTTCTTTATTGGGTCAAATTCTGGGCTTTTCTAGGCCTTTTCCCTTCTACCTGGATCAATTCTAAACCGGTTCATTTTTATGGACTCAAACTGCCGTTTCTCAAATTAAAAAAAATGATATATAAACTTTATTTATATCTCTTACATTTTTAATTTTTGTTTCCGATTAGCATTTTGTTAAAATTTTTTTTCATAATTAGCACCATGTGTATCTCATTCTCATAAGGAGTTAGGCTGTAGTAAAATTATCAAAATATATTCTCAATTTAAACATAATTATTCAAAAATGTTAATTGACTTTAAAATGGTTTTAGAATGCAAATCAACCTTGATTAGGAGTAAGAAGATTGAGGGTAAAAAAGACAAAAATTAGATTCTAAAATAGTTAATTTGATATTACAAGAGCAGAATATAATTAACATTGATGGAGACTACTATATATAGTTTAATTGGGTTTTCTTCCCACTAAGGACATTCACCTAATGCTAGAGTTTATGCTTATATCAAAAAGGGTTTTATAATTAGGAGTCCAAGACACAGAAGAAGGTGAAGCGGGAGGAGAACGTGAGTGGGAAGACGAGCATGAAGAAGAGTTGGAGGAGATATTGTTGTGTGATGGATTCCTTATCATCCACGGCACCACATCTTCAAGCAACCCTTGTTGGCTAAATCCTTCCAAAGCTATTCCTTGAGGGCAGCCCTCGAACGAGCTTGGCAGTGGCTCACAGTTGATATTTGCTGCTTGGGTTTCCGTAGTTTGCGAAGCTCCAAAAGCCTGCGATACAGCTTCTGAAATGGCCATCTTGGGCTTCTTGGTTAGTGAATCATCTTGGGGAGGCGGGTCGAGTGAGAAATATGGGTAGGGGAAGTGTAGGTGAAGCCCTTCGTAGGTGATGATGAGTGTGTCTGGGTCATCTCTCGACCTCTCCACTTGCTTCTTTGCGCTGCATCTTGGGTTCGTGCACTTGTAATAGCTCCTGTTTCATGCCAAATACAAGGACAAAATCACATACTGATTAATACTAGTAAGTATTCGTGATCTGGATGGGGATAATTATGGTGAAAGGACTAGGACATGGGCTTTATGTGCAAAGTTCATTAAGCATAGGTCCCAAAGAAACTGATGGCATTGTCAAATCCAATTCGAAGACTTGTCGAAGGGGGATATTATCGTATGATGCTTGTCATGTGCTTCATCTTTCCATTTATCCATCCCTGTCAGGAGGTGAGGTGAAGTGGAAGCTTGTAGAAATTTATATACATCGCAAAAATTTTTTTGAGTACTTTCTTTTATCCGCCTCTCATGCATCTTGTTTACTTTGTGGGAGGCAAGGAAAGAGAGGCCATAAATTAGATAGTATCTACAATGCATGACAATACTAATTAAGAATCTGTATGAACAGTATGCAGCAGATAAACTTCCCACCATGGAAACTTTTTTAGAGCTTTCCTGTCATTGAAGAAATTACTTCAATTTGGGAAACTGAACACGTTCAGATGCTTGAACAAGAAATGTTTGCACATTCAATAAGCAGAATTGAACATGGTTTGATGAGGTGAGACGGTTTTGCAAAGAAGTACCACTAAGAAGAAGGGAAAAGAGCTGATATACGTTCAGTCGAGTATACGGTTTTATTGAGGATTTGGACTTTCCTATAGATTCTCCAAAGAGAAATACAAGGAAGGTGATGACTGACAGATAAGAAAAAGATCAGAGAGCCAGCTGGAAAGATAGGTACCTTGGATTTGGGCTGTTTTTGATCGATTTTTGTCCATATTTCCTCCATTTATATCCATCATCTGCCATGCCATTGCCACAGCATTTTATCTTCAGAGTATACTTATTCTCTATCTTACTCAAACCTCTATCCAGAATTGAATTGAGTCTGCAAAAAGATTTTTCATTTCATTTAATACCAAATAAAACTATCACTTAAAACGCAACAGAAAAACCCAAGGGAATCCAAGTTGATTAAACCTGGTTTGCTCTTGTGTTTGCGATTGATCCTTCCAGGTTGGCACTGATAAAGCATTCTCAATATCTTCAATCCTTGGCCCTGAATAGACGGTGGAGAGGAGTCGTTTAGTAGCTTCTTCTTCTGACGTTTTTGATATGGGCTGAACAGGCTCTTGAGGTAGGACAAAGAATGGAGTCTCATCATCAAGAAGCTCTCTCACAAGTTCATCTTCGGAGCCATCAAACCAAGCGTCCTCCTGACCAATCTCCATTACAGCACTCTTTCAGACAACTAACTTAAGCCTTGCATTAAACCAAGACGAACTAAACTTAGCTGTCACAACAGGAAGAAGAAGCAGCCGAATAAGTTACTGGAATTACTAGCAAGCAAGAACAAAAATTTATAGGAAAGAATAATTGAGAGAGTGGAGCAGATGAACTGAAGGAAGTTTGTGACGTTATAGTTTTTATATCTGATGAGCCCTCTTGACTTTAAATTAAGAGATGCTAGGCTTCTGTTTGTGAAGATAAGTTGATAAGAGGTGTACAATTATATGTTGACTTTGCTATAAGGATTTCCTGCCCTGTAGTTGTTACATTTTTGGTTAACTGTACCCCTGGGTCACCCCCCCTCATTATTTTCTTAATGGGCTCCTTGCATGCAGAAGGTAATTGGTAATTGGTATTTGGCAGTATCAGGATCTTTTCATTTTACTAGTTCAATACTCTCCTCGTAAATAAAGAATTTGTACTTATTACGTGACAAGAATTACGGAAAAAAATTATAAAAAAATCATTTATTTTAATATTATATTAAAATTTTAAAATAAACATTGAATTTAAAAATTAATAATAAAAAAAAACTCACCTTATATATATATATATATGTTCAAAATACTTTTAAATTAACAGACGTGAAATCAATTTTTTTCTCACTGCTTCAACAATCGGTTATGTTTTGCTCTTCATAATTAGCTTTAACTATAGTATTTGATTTAGCTGTAAATTAATCACCATTAGCATGTAAAATGCGACAAAGGCGTAAAGAGGAAGAAACTACAAAGGTTTTGGCATGTTCAAACCGGTTTAGCTGCCATGGATGGCCCTGTCAATATTTTAAGCTGCTTGTCTCTAAGCTTTGCCGGATTCTCTGTATTTTCATTTAGTGCCGGTTTTGTCTTCTTACGTTGTTTTGATTGGGATAGATGCATCTAAGGTGGACCAAAGCCACCGGACGCTTGACCCACCCCAGCTTCAACCAAAGCAGGAGTCAACCACTAAAGAACGAATAAACATATACCTTCACAATTAATTAATTAATTAATTAAGCACAAGTTTAATTATATCCTTTGTATCATTGTAACCTTTAGGCAGTTGAGAATCAACCATTACTTAACTAGATTGTGATAATTAGGTGGCTTTAGGAGAATTGTGGTAAGTAAATACTAATTTTTATTATCAATTTATTTTAACTTAAATATTTATCTAAAAATTTGATATAAAATATGTAACACTTACGTTTATAAATTTTTTAAAATTTTTTATTTATCTGATATAAAATTTAAAAAATATATCTATTTAATAATATTAAAATAATTATTAATTTATTTATTGATACTTGTGATTCATATTGTATGATAATGATAAGTGTTTTATCCCAGAAAACAAAAATTTTAATTAACAATGAGAAGGTGACTAAATATTACACTTGATAAGGTCAAACCAATCCCAAAAATTATACGTACCAAGATCATCACTGAAGATGATCATCCAAGATTGTCAAAGCTGTAGCAATAATGCCATGTGCAGAGAGCTCTGATAGGCATTCAGCAGAAGCAGACAATCAAAATCTAATCCTTTTAATGTGGGGAGCCATCTCCTCTGTTTCCATTTTCATAGCAAAAACCTATCAAAAAACCAAACCAGCAACAAAGTTTGTCTTCAACACGAGAAGGTTTCCGAGCAGTTGCTTCATAGTGAGGGAAGTTTTGTAGCTATTCGGCTTTGACTTTGTGAATCCTAGAAAACCCAAAGGGCAATCGTTGAAGACAAAAATGGTTTTGACTGGCAGAGTGGGCTTAGGTTTAGCTGCTTCCGTCTGCTGCCTGGCTGGCGCAGAGAGCCAAAGGAGGTGCGTCGGTTAGTGGCCAAAGCCAAAGGTGGGCGCAGGTTTATCTGAAAACAAGGCACCAAATATGTGAGGACGTTTTCTCATAAGTCAACCCTATATGATGTGGGACCACACCGCCTGTGATTTCAGCGACACGTGTGTGGTCGGGGGTCCTTGACCTTGTGGCAACCCACTCGTCGTGGTCAAAATTTCACGTGATCGGATGAGATGGAGCAGTTTGACCTGTCCCCCTCCCTCCGTGACCGAACCCGTGTTCAATCGCCAACAAAACCATGTTGGCGCAAAACAAAAACCGGGTCCATTCTTAATTCAAAGTTATGTATGACCCTAACCAAAGAGTTGCAAATGTGTTTGATAATTTGATTTGTTTATTGTTTAGTTATAAATTAAGTGTAGTAATTAGTTTGATCTGATTAAAAGTTAAATAGATATGTTATCAAGATGGTGTTTTTCTAAACACGTGTTCTATCATTATTTATATTTTTTATTAATTTAAATGTTAAAGACAAAAATAAAGTTAAGTCTTGATGTTTTTCATTGGTTTTGATTTATAAATATCAAGTTATAATCCAACTCTAAATGTTTGTTTACTGTCTTATACATAATTCTTCTCGATTAGTTTTGATTTTTAAAATTTTAAATCTTCAAAACTCATTATTAATCTTTGTAGAGAAAATTACATGATGGGTGATAAACT